CATGGCTCTGTACCACTGGATCGTGCCACCTCCTTGACAAGGATTCCCACATCATCTCTCCCCCTCTGTTACTCTTCATCTGCTATGTAATTTTAGCTGGAAACAGCTCGACTTTTATGCAAAATGGAATAAAATTCAAGGAAACAAAATGGAAACAGGCTCAAGTGTGTGCACTGGTTGTAGGAGCTTGTCTGCTGTTGAGACTGGAGGAGATGGGTGTGCTCAGATGTTGCTGTTGGACCTGCCATGCCATAGCTGGAGGGCAGACACCTCCCCTTCACCTCTAGGCTCAGACAAAACTGGCACAAGAACAGTGTTCAGATTTGCACGTACGTTTTAATCTCTGGCTGAAGGTAATCAAGCCCCCCCAACAACACACCCACCCAGGAATCCCGGAATCAGTCACACTTACAGAACGGAGCTCTTCCCAAGGTGAGAGATTAGTGATTGAAGCACCCAGTGCTGCCACACAGCGACAGTGGCAATGTGCCCAGCAGGGTGCAGGCACAGTCAATCAGCACATTCATTTGTCAGAAATAATTGGCTTTACACCGCTTCTCTCTGGTGTCACTGAAAAATAGTAGAGCTAAAGCTGCCTGGGTGCTTTACCGGGCACTGCCAGAAAGGGGCATCTGCTATATTTCACCTTGAACTGCTCGGCTGAGGAAGAGGGGCTGGAGGAAGAAGCAAAAGCCCATGGGATAGAGCGCCTGCACTCCTCTCTGTCCCTCCACTAGTGCACTGTTCCCACTGTCACAAACCTGCAGGGAGATGCATCTCACCACCCACTGGTGCTGGTCCCACACTGAAGCCCTTTGCAACTGGGCCTGTGCCTGCTCAGCCACCCCTGCAATTCCGCCACTTCCCCCCTGCACAGCTCCCAGCCTCAGCAGGACCATTACCAAGGTCAGGGCTCCCTGACACCACTCTTGGGCTGTACGAGCAGCAGCAGAGCAGGCAGGAGATGCTCGATGCACCACTACAAGCCCTAGAGATTCAGGGTTTGTCAACACACTGGCTGTGACACAAAGCTCCAATTCGGCATCACGCTGGGCTCTGCTCAATCCATCATTGAAGGATTCTTGTGCCAACCCATAGGGGTCTGTTGGACAAGTCTGCAGGAGGCAACAGGAGCAGATACAGCTCTCCCGTGGGGAGGGTACAGCCTGCCAGAGGCATTCTGCACTGCTGCCTGCCTCATGTAGTGCAGAGGAACCGTTTGGGACAAGTACCCAGTCCAACAGAACAGGAGTTTGGCAAAGCAAAAGCAAGCAAGTGGCCTTGGGCAAATTAAACCATGTGCAGGAACCCTGAGGTTCCTCAGGCACCGGGAAAAGTAGAAATTGGGGCAGCAGCACCTGAAGGAGGGCTGGAGGGGCTGTGGGCATGCAGAGCTGGGCTGCCCTCTTTAACCTGGAAAGCACTGAGGCACTGAAGGGTGTTACTCACACATCCACCTTTCCCCTCCCAGTCCAGAGGCTTCGAGTTTCCATCTCCAGAAATAACGCAGCATCAAGGAGCAAAGAACCAGGAACAGCACGAGTGCCTGCTGTGGCACTTCACCCTTCAGCTTTGCTGAATGTACCCCGCCACCAGGCTAGACCCCAAGGAATGTCCAGACCAGTGCAGTCCAGCGAGGTCGCAGCTGGGAAGCGAGCAGGACAGGGCCCCCTGTCCAGGCAGAGCAAGGGAGTCCCTTCTTCCTGCAGGAGGAATTGCAGAGGAGAAGCTGGGGCTGGCACACAGGACTTTTGAGCAGTTGTGTCCACACAGTCCTATCTCACAGTCCCCAAACCGTCAGACCTTGGTACACGCACCCTAAGGAGAACATCCCCGTGGCAGATCAGCTCTTCAGGCAGCTGAGCGAGATGGGCAGGATGAGGCATCACCTCCTCACACCAAGTAAGGAGTGTCCAGCACCGCCACCCCAGCTGCTACCCCACCGTCTGCGTGCTCGATCGCCTTTGTCCGCAAGAGGTGGCCGGCGGCCTCGTTCATCACCATCTCCTTGCCCTGTCTGCAAAGAAAAGGGATCCTGAGCACCTGCAGACCAGAAAGCTGACGGCATTTCACCTTGGACACCGTGATTCATGTTCCCTGCCACAGCACAGGGCAGGTAACCGGCGCGTAACAGCCCTAGGGCTAACGCAGAGCTCTCGGCAGACAGCAGAGCTGCGCCTGGTTCCTGCCTGCCAGCGACCGTGCCCTTTCTCAGCAGGGCCATTTCGGTCTGATTGCTCTGCACACAGGCAGTGTCAGGTTGTGAACGCTGCCAGAGTACATTTGTTTCTAAAATTGTACGAGAAGGACTTTCATTTATAAGCTATGGAAACATTTCTATGGGCCTATGAGGGTTTTAAACAAAAGCAGCAGCTATTTTGGGTTGAACACAACCACATTAAGCCTTCAGATATTTCTGAGATCGCCAGGGGTTCAGAAAAGCACGTGGCTGCATCCAGAATCCGAGAAGTACTCCCAGAAATGAGGGATGAGACACACCAGTTCCACGTGGCTGTTACACCAGTAGCCACCAGCACCAGCTCTGCAGTTTTTCCAACAACTCATTTGGCAGCAGGTACAGAGCAGCAATTCAGCATCTGAACACAGTGCTCACAGAGCTGCTGACAGGGGCAGAGACTGAACAGTCACATCTGTCCCCTGTACCTCCACCTCCCCAGAAATATCTGCCCTGCTGCTGTGCTCAGACCGTGCAGAGGGGAAAACGCTCCCAACCCAAGTGCCGCTGGAGCAGGGAACCACCCCATAACACAAGCATGTTTCTCACCTGACATAGACACCAAAAATACCGAGTTCCGAGATGCACTCGGACACTTGTAGGGGACTGTGGGCCCTTAGCAAGTAATTCTTTGCTGGCTGTGGTTTGATCTTATCCATCAAGATGTAGGAGGTTCTCTCAGGGCTGTCTCTGATCTTCTCTAGAACCTGCCTGAGCTCTTCACCATAGAGGTTGTTCCCTGACAACAAAACCAGTGAGTCAAGCACTTCCCAGCACAGCAGAAGCTGTTGGTCCCGGCTCTGCAATTGACCCTCCCAGCCGCGACAGACCCAGCCTTTGCCTCCCCACACCCCAGCTCTGGGGCTCACGGAGCTCCTCCAGGAGCTTACTGCCATGAATAGTCCCCATAGCTACAAGCCACCCCACCCCACCTTTTATTCCTCAGCACAGGACCAAGAGCCATCACAGAGCTACTGCCTCTCCTGGATACAGCACAAACCGCAACGAGAACCCACACAGACCCGCTCCAGCTCATACCTCCACCTTCTCGCTGCGGCTTCAGCACAAACCGGTCAGGGTCAGCAATAGCCATAGCAGCTATCTTGTCACCCTCTTCGCCCTGGCAGGAAAGGATGGCAACAGCAAAGCATCAGGGAGGAGAAGGGGCTGATCAGGATCAACAGCATCCTCCAGGGACCACAACAAAGCCTTCTCATGTTCTTAACCGAAGAGAAACATCACACATGCC